AAATGGAGATTTGTACATTTATGCTTATAGCAGTGTTATTCACAGTTGACAGGACATGGAAACAGCCCATATGTGTAACTACCACCAAATGAATTGAGAAATCGTGGTACATTCACAATATGGAACACTGCACAGCACTCAAGAGCAACAATTGAAAAAAATTCTGCCTTACTTGGGAGAGACTGGAAAGCATTATTTTGAGTGAACTGGTGTAGTCATAAAAGGACAAATGCTGCATAAGAACATTATTGTAAAAACAGAAGGATAACTAGTAAAATATGTATGGGGGTGCATGGGGTGAAGAAGTGGGAGCAGAGAGGTGAGGGTGGGCATGAAGGGGAAATTACAGGGTAACACAATTTGGTGAGTGGAGGATTAGGGTAACAGAAATGGGAAAGATCTGACAAAGACCTGAAAAAATGGGGTAATAGTGGGCATAATACAATGGTGATTGATTTTATAAAATATATGGCATCTTCTTCCTAAACAATATGCCCCTGGAAATTCTATGAACTTTGATAGATGAAGATAGTTATAGAAGGGTTCAGGCCTTTTTGTTCATAGGGTCACTATGAATCATTGTCAATTTGATGGCAGTAAACAACAACAAAAACAAAAACAATGCATGGGAATGATTGTATGAAACACAACGTGAATGAAAGAAAGTGTGAAACACATTTTATAAAAATTTTGTACACAAACCAATAGAGAGAGAAAATGAAAAAAATTTTAAAAAGCAGACCCTCAAGCCATTTTCCTGTAGTTTGAACCACCAGTATTTCACCAGTAGAAATCTCATTGTTGTTGTTGTGCCATCAGTTTTTGTATGAATTATTATATATTAAATATATTTCCAAATATATATTAAAAATATTATCTAGATTGTTGTTCTGTCTCAGCACCAACCCATAGCTTCCCCTCAGCAGGTTTTCAGAGGCAGTTAAACTCACAAGAGGTGATTACCCCTCCTTCTCCCGCAGAACACCTTGTGTATTCGAACCACGTGCCTTTGGGATTGCAGCACGGCTTCTTGCCACTAGGCCACCAAAGCTCTAAGATTGTTGTTGTTGCTATTACATGCCATAAAGTCACCTTAACTTCCTAGCTACCCTATGTGTAACAGCTCTGAAGCCTGCCCTATCCTAAGCCAGTCTCACTGACTCTCACAGACCTACTCCCCCACTCCTTCTCCCAGCTGCTATATCAGTCCATCTCAGCTGGGGTCTTCGTCTTCTGCCCTGTCTCTCTACACTTCTGAGCATGATGTCCTCCCCAAGAACCGTTCCCGCCTAGTGATGTGCCCAAAGTATGTGAGACAGAGCTTCAAAATCCTAGTTTCCAATGAGAAACTTGGTTTTACCCTCTCCAAGACAGATCTATTCCTTTCCTTGGAAGTCCATAGTATGTTCAACACTCTTCTCCAACACCAAAACTTAAAGGTATCATTTGTTATTCTGTCATCTTTACTCATTGTCCAGCTCTCTGAGCCATGGTAAGTAATTATAAAGACCATGGCCTGGATCAGGCACATCTTATACTGTAGGTTAACATCATTGCTTCTCAGGACTCTGGAGAAGTTGCTGAAAGCAAATTTTCCTAGTGCAATTCTTTTGATTTTCCTGAATGATGGTGTCAAGAGTATTGATTGTGGACCCAAGGAAGCAATAATTGTTAACAACCTCAATCTCTGCTCCATCTATCATGGTGCTGTCAATTGGCTTATTGGGGAGAATCTTCTTGATGTTGAGCTTCAATTCCTATGGAAGACTACAGTCCTTGACTGTCTACAGGAAGTGCTTCAGGTCCTCCTCAGTTTCAGCAAGCAAGTTTGTGTCATCTACATAACACAGGTTGTTAATGCGTCTTCCTCCAAATCTGATGCCACATTCCTCTTAACATAGCCAATCTCCCAAATGATCATATTGACTGATAATGTGTGGAGACAGGACACATCCCTGATGCACTCCTTTACTGATTTTGAACCATGCAGTGTTTGCCTGCTTTGTTTGGAGGACTGCTTCCTGGTCCACATATAGGTTTAACAGAAGTACAATCAAGTGTTCTGGGATCCCCATTCTCCTCAAAGTTAACCACAATGCGTTGTGATCCACACAGTCAAATGCCTTCCCATAATCAATGAAACGCAGATTGATATCCCACTATTACTCTTTGCTTTCTGCCAAAATCTATCTGACATTGGTCATAATGTCTCTAGTTCCATGACCTCTTCTAAATCCAGCGTGTATCAGTTCTTCTATGTACTGTATCACTATTCTCTCTGCCTTCAGTATTGCTCTTATCTTCTTGAACTACAAAGTCCAGGAGCCTTCTTGGAACTTGTCCCTGACATACTGCTCTCCATTGTTATTTCCTCACTTTATTGACTACTCATACTTCTGATCCCATGATCATCTGGCCATAGCCCTGGTTTTAACTACAATACAAACTTTTTGATTTTTGGGTTTGTACTGTCTATTTAACCATAACTTCCCTGAGAAAAGGAACCATACTCTATTTCAGGGTTTAAAAATTTCAGAATCTATCCTAGTACATGACACATTTTGAAGCACCTGTTGGATAATTTAAGCACAAATGCATTATGTTTCATTAAGAAATATATTAGATAAATAAAATATTAGAAACATTGTCAAAACAAAATTTCTTTGTATGATTCTCACAAAAATCTCTGCCTATTGTTGCAAATGGAATTTCTGAGAAATGAGGTAAAGCACTGGATACAAAAAATCTCTCTATGATACTTTATTGGATATTACTTCATAAAGAAAGGCACATTTTGTTAGTGTTTCTCATTTCTATAGATTTTGCTACAACTCAAAGTGACCCATTGTACAGCAGAGTAAAACGCTGAATGGTCCTATGCCTTCTTCATAATCTCTGCCATGTGTAAGTCACTGAGTCCGCTCATATCGTTGAGACCTTCTTTCCTTCATTGACCTTCCACATTTTCCCAAGTAGAATGTGCTTTTTCAGGCACTGGTCTTTCCTGATAGAGTGCCCTACATCGGTTAGACAAAGTCTGACCAGCTTCGCCTCTAAGGAGCACTCAGACTGTACTCCTTCCAAGTCAGATGGCAGTCCATATTATGTTCCTTATTCTCCACCAACAGCGCAATTCAAAGGACTAAGTACTTCTTTAGAATCCCCTATTCATTGCACATCTTTCACATGTATATGAAGCAAGTGACAATTATTTGGTGCTGTTGAGTATGATTCATAGTGACACTATAAACAATAGATCTAAACCCTGTCCTACCTTGTGCCAACCTCACAATCTCTGACACACTCAAGCCCATTGTTGTAGGCACTGTGTCAATCTACTTGGTTGAAGGTCTTCCACTCCTTCACTGTCCCTCTACCTTCCAAGCATGACGTCCTTCTATAAGGGATAGGCTTTTCTAGAAACCTGTCCAATATATATGAGGCAAAATGACAATGTAGTTATCCAAAGTTAAATATCACTGGATTAAGAACACCAAATGAATATGTATTTGACATATAATCCCTCAGACAATTTTCAGTGACAAAACTATCTTGGATAAACCAGAATAAATTCTAGTGCCCTAAGAACATTTAAAAAAAATAAGTTGTACTAGAACTCCTTTACAAGTGTAAATTTAGAAAATATTGTTTGCAGTCATTCATAAAGAGAGAAGTTAATGACCAATAGACAATGCTCTGACAGTTTCTAGAGAGAAACAATTGATTATATTTAAATGTCTGTAATTTCTAAAACTATGGTTATTGCTATATGGGTATTTATTAAAAGGGAACTCTGGTGGCCTAGTGACAAGAGGCTGTGCTATAATCCTGAAGGTACATGGTTTGAGGCCACCAGCCACTTTGTGGAAGAAGGAAGGGCAATCTCCTCCTGTGTAACTAACTATGTGTGAAAAATGTGCCAGAGTCAGCTATGGGTCAGCTTCAACTCTATGGCACACAACAACACACTTATCAAAAGATGGTTTTACATGTATTTTATTAACAAATCCTTTATCACAATAAATGAGTCTGTTCAATTTTAAGCCAACAATAATTCTGATCTAGATTGAGAGCGGATAGAGGAGTTTATAAAATGTTACACTGAGCAAATCTCTGCTTAATCTACCTAATACTCTGCCCCTTACAGTGACAGCAGAGATGCTATCTGGGAACCCCAATGGTGAACTTCCATTATACTAAGTTACACCAAGCACAAGATATCAAGAGCATACCCTGAACTCGACCTTAATATTCAATTCCAGATCTGTCATCCATGGATTTAGCTAAGCCTTTGTTGATCCTATTTATGCTTTCTGATGGTACAACCACTCAAGCAAACATGTTCCAGATGTGTACAAAATACTTCTTTGTTTTATTTGACCCACAACTACCTCCATCAATACTGTGTCAGAAATGATGTTTCTAAGCATGGAAAACACATATTCATTCACCTTTTAAACATTCTTTATAACTCTATTAAGTTTACTTGTTTTACAGTTAAGGGGCAATAGTTAGGCAAATACATACATACATACATACATACATACATACATACATACATACATACTTTCTCTCTTGAACCAATTCCTCTAAACTATAGCTTGTCCTTCACAGATACTTTGGAAACTGTTTATAGTCTCTTGCCAATATCTTTCCCACAGTTTAGTTAAAAAGATTGTGAATTGGGCAGTTGCAATCATAAATTAACCTTAAATGTTGACAGCTCAAACCAGTCTTAATTTCACTGTTATTCAGATTTACTCAGACTATCAGATAGTTAAATAGAAGGGTAAGATCCAAGGTGTTTTAGTTAATCAGAAAAATAAAAATTCTAACCACATGATTTATGAACATAAATGATGCCTAAAAGTCTGTACTAAAAAAAAAGATTTGTTTTAATAGTTTGAAATAGCTAACTACGAATAAAATAAAAAAGATTCTATTTTTTTCTTTCTTCCTAATATCCCTTTCATTCTGATATCCCTTGTTTTCCTCACTAGGGAGTGAACCTTTATAAGGTGATGGAAGCTGGAGACTTCATTTGCAAAGCTGTGAATAAAACCACAAACTCAAAAGTAGCACAAGCCTCCTTCAGTCCTTGATTTGAAGAAATTTGGAACTTATGGTAAAGAAGATCCCATTTCATCTACGGATGTTCATCTGAAAGTCATTACCTTCATCTTGTTCTGAAATGTGAAGTAATGGGCAAGAAGGCAAAAAACAAAGACTTTTTTAAAAAGCATATAGCAAGATCAAGTCAGAGGAAAGCAATCGTAGACATCAAGTAAATCGTAAGCTGAAGAAAAATGTAAAGCTTGTAGACATGCTTTAGAATTTGGAAAAAAAGTCCATACACTGTTGCTCTTACAGAAATACAGGAATAACTTCTTAATTTAGTAGATGTGAACATTGACTTCAGATTTCCTTAAGTATCAAATACCATGTTAATACTTAATCAAGCCGGTTTCATACAGTATATATATTGTCAGTACTTTATGAGCTCCTGAGCATCATGTGCGAAGTGTGTGGCCTCAGTATTATGCGTTATGCCTCTGGATCTCAACTTTCCATTTGCCAAGTAAGTTAAGTTATAGACCAAGAGCCAAATCTCCATCTGACCCAACATAATTTTTAGCAATAGAACTTTTATATTTTGAGTATGGCTAACATCTGTTAACTATTTCAGTGGTTTTATCTTCCTCCAAGAGGCTGTGGTCAATGGCAGGATGCCATATCCTGGAAACATATTACGACCTCCCATGTTTGTTACATGCCTTGAGTTTACCATGCTTTCCTTTCATCAGTTATAGTAAAGACTAGTATGGTACTACTCAACTGTTGAGAAATAGAAGGTACGATTTGCATTCTGATATCTAAATTGCAGTAATGAGAATAGTTTGATGTACGTGCCATACTGCACTTTTATGAATTTCATATAACTTCTGAATTGACTCAGAAAATATCATTTTGACCCTCAGGATACCAGGACAGGTTTTAATTATTCAAGTAGATATTTTCCCTTGATTTGAGGGACTTTGAATAGATCACTCCACATTTTTCATTGACTTTTCCCATCTATTTTGAAAGTCTAAGTGTCTGAAATTTCATCTGTTGCACTGGGACACATTGACAGAAATAGCAAAAATTAATATAATAGTGATTGAGAAGAAGAACAAGAAGCCTTTGTAAAGAAAAACTTTCCATAACCTATGCAAATCATGTGGGGACAGTGTTATTATATGGGGGTCTACAATGTCAGTTCTGTTACTTATGTAGACTTTTCAACAATATTGAGTGATTTTATCTTTGAATAAATTTGCATATAGCTTGATATATGAAAGATGGCATTGTGAACTTTCTATTGAATATTCATTAATCTCCCTGAAATAAAAAAGGAAAGAAAATTATGGACATATTCAAGAAAATAAGAGAAATAGTGATTACAACTAAATGACTTTAAAGTTAGGCAGTAACAGGAGATGAATCACAAGGAAAGCATGACAATGACTTGAAATAAAAACCAAAAAATCTACAATTTCATGAAGAAGGCCAGCTCATCAGAGTATGAAGTGATGGTGAAACAGGAACTGTGATTACAACCTTTATTCTCAAAACACTGAGTGCATTTCTTTGCATTCAGAGTTATTGTGAGGAAATGGGGCAGTGCCGACAGCAAACAACATAACTGTAGATAAGGGTCTACCTGGAACACTTCTCACGTAGGCATCTCTCTTTACAAATTTCACACATTTGCACATGTTGTTGTTGTTGTTATGTGCCATCGAGTCGCTTGCGACTCATAGCGACCCTATGTACAACAGCCCTAAACTCCTCTCTGTCCTGTGCCAATTGCACTGTCTCTGACACTCCCATTCCAATTATCTCAGTCACTGAATCAATCCACCTTATAAAGGGCCTTCCTCTCCTGCGCTGTCCCTCCACCCTCCCAAGCATGATGTCCCTCTCCAAGGACCAGTCTCTCCTCACAACATGTCCAAAGTATGTTAGACGGAGCCTCAGAATCCTTGCCTCCAAGGAGCCACCTGTTTTAACCCTTTCCAGGATGAATTTGTTTGTTTTCCTAGCAGTCCGTGGTATTCTCAATACTCTTCTCCAGCATCACAGCTCAAAGGCATCAATTCTCCTTCTATCCTCCTTGGTCATTGTCCAACTCTCTGATGCATAACAAGTGATTGTGAAGACCATAGCCTGTATCAGACGCACCTTAGTCTCCAGAGAGACAAGACACCATTGCCCTAACAGCAGACTTTCCCATAGTAGCAGTTAAAGAAAACTTGCTTTTCATGTGCCTGGCAGGACATGCTCCCCACCTTCTGAGAAGATTGGTTCTTCCTATATCTTCTTGAGCTGTAGAATTCTTAATTTTGAGTTATTTGTAAAGCATCTGCTGTGGATTGAACTGTGTACCCCCCAAAAATTATGCATTTGATTCCTATTCATTATACCTGTGAATGTAATCACATTTGGGAATAGGGTATGCTCTGTCATATTACTGAGGCCATTTATTATCAATATAGGATGTGTTTTAAACATAACACTTTTGAAATAAAAAGACTAGACCTAGGCTTGAATTGGAGAAAGATAGATATATATGTTACACGAACAGCATCCTGGAACCAAGAACCCACTTGATTAGAAAAACTGAAGCAATGATTTTGCTCTAGAGAAGAAAGAGAAACTTATCCTAAGTTGGTGCCCTGAATTTGGACTTCTAACCTTTTGAATGATAAGAAGATAAATTTCTTTAAGAAACTCACTTGTAATAAATATATTATTTAACACTGGAAAGCTTTTGCTGAAAACTACATAGGGGGAAAAAATAAGCTAAGAGTTGCAGTTTTCAAATAAAAACCATGGGCATGGGCTCTTTAGAAGGCAAATAGTAAAAAATGCTAGGTGCAGCCCAGTACTAATTTCCGTGGCATCCAGGTCAGTCTTGTGCTCATTAGAAAATATATCTGATGCCATCTAATCACATTTACATCAGTATAACTTTCATTTTTTAGGCATTTAATGTTGTCATTACACCCTACGGAGTCTAAAGCCCTATGCTAAGTTAAAACAAACAAACAAACAAAACAAACAAGTTTCTTTTCTGATTTTGCACAGAAAGACACATATGCACATAAAGCCGGCCTGAATTCCACAGGCAAAATCTGTCCAGAGCCACTTTTCAGCTAACCAGGGAACTTTGGAGTATGAAGGACCCACCCATACAAGCCATGCACATGTACATAGACGCCAGGCTTAGCCCTGGAAAGAGGACTTCCAAATGGTAAAGCAATTATGGCTTTTATTGAAATGGAAGTAAAAATAATATTTTCTAAAATCTCACTTAAGGAAAATATCCTTCCTATGTTCTAGAATATATAATCTATTTTATTGTAGGTATGTGTGACTGACCAAAGATTTTAAGAATTCTCTGAATGCCAGAAATGTTAAAAACCTTAGATTTCATGAAGTTCACAAAGCAAAGACATATTTATTGGCTGTGACTTTCTGGAAGAAGTCAGAATGTTCTTTATATGTTATAATTTTTTAAAATTTCATGACCCTTGTAAGAATTCCCTCTCCAGATATTTCAGATAAATATTTCACACACATATATATTTTTGTTGTTGTAAAGTGCCAACAAGTCATAGACAACTCATACTGACCCTATGAATGAAAGACCTGAACACTTGTGTAACTTCATCGTTTCTCCAAGTTTGCTGAGGCAAGCTATTTAGGAAGTGATTGCCACTCCTTCTTCCTAGCTGTTTTAATCAGGGAGCTCCACCAAATACTGTCCAAAACTAAGTAACCATTACATTTGACACAGTGTCACAGTGTTTAGCATCACAGCAACCACAAGTTACCTCTGTACAGCAAACGGACAGACCAATGCTGCTATATCACTTAGAAGAATGTTTGACTAAAAACAATTAAAACCAGGCCTGAGGGCTGCAGATTAAAATCACCAACCTTTGGCTTGGTAGCATAACTTTCTATCCACTAGGATATATATATATATATTACATTTGTGTCTTTGAAAGTAATAACTTCATATAGCTCTGGGCCCTAGTGGTAAGAAGCTGTGCTGCAACACACAGTTCTTACCTACCAACTGCCAACTGCTCCACAGGAGAAGGATGGGCAATCTCTTCCTGTGTGATTAACTGTCTCTGAAAACCCACTGGAAGGTCAGCTATGGGCCATTTCCAACTCCACAGTACACAACAATATATAAAGTGACAGAATAATCTAGGAAGAAAATATATTAAATGAAAAATCCTCATACAGCATCCCTCTCTAATTGTAAAGCAGAGATAAAGCTGGAATCTGAGAACCTGCCAGGGCTCTGATTAAAGTAATGCAAAGACAAGTGAAGATTTGCTGTTATACCAGGAACCATTTGCAAATTGTGTTTATCTCCTGTGAATTACAGGTTCTGTATTTGGTCAACAATTCTACTCACTACAGATAATACCACCAACGTTTTTTTGGATTTTGCGTTTTAATTAGGCTGACCTATAGATTAAATTGCCCATATCCTCACTTGATTAAAATACAGTCAACATAGATTATGTCATCTGGGAGCCTTTAAGAAATACAGATTCTTGGACTCCACCCTATACTTATTGCATCTGTAAGCATTTTTAACAAGGTTTCTCCCTCTCTCCCCATAATTCCTCTGCATATTACTGTTTGTGAAGCATGTGACTATATGACATTGGGTGTTAAAATTTCACAAGTTCATAATTCCTTGAAACCAACTTCACCCCTCCTGTATTATAATTCTCTCCCACTTACTTCTTGGAAAAGTAGACTCAGAATTATCTTCAAGTCTTATTTTAGTTATATTCTCTGTCCTTCCTTGAGCCAGGGCATGACTGAGTCCTGGTGTTCAGTTCTTTTTTTTATATATTTTATATTGGTTTGCATGCAAAATTTGCATACAGTATGTGTCACACTTTCCTTCATTCTCAGTGTGTTTCATACAATCATCCCACACATTGTGTTTTATAAAATTAATTCCCATTGCATTACGCCCATCATGCCCCATCTCTTCAGATTCCCAACGGAATCTTTCCCATTTCTTTTAACCCCTCTCTCCACTCACCAAATTGTGTGACTCTGTTTTTCTCCCTGTTCACTCTCACCCTCTGCTACCACACCTTCCCACCTTGGACCCCCATTCACATTTTACAAGTCATCCTATTTTTATAATAATGTTCTTATGCACTATTTGTCTTTATGAGATAGAGTTAATTCACTAAGCATAATAAATGTCTCAGCCCAGTAAATGTCTAAAGGGAAGACAACAGTG